ACGCTCAAAAGACTCAGAATAGCTATTTTGGGATACCGGAGGTGTATATGTAGCCTTAAAGTCCTGGTCTTCACAATATCCTCTAGCAAGGAGTTCCACAAGTTGACCGTACATCGTGTGAAGACCTTCTTTCCTTTTTTATTTATAAACCCTCTACCTATTAATTCCATTTGGTTACCCCTAGTTCTTATGTTATGGGAACAAGTAAATAACTTTTCCTTATTCACTTTCTCCATACCTGTCATGATTTTATAGACTCCTGTCTATCCCCGCTTAGTCTCTTCTTTTCTAAGCTAAAAACTCCCAGTGTCTTTCATCTTTCTTTATATGGCAGCCATTCCAAACTCCTAATAATTTTTGTTGCCCTTTTCTAAACTTTTCTGATGTCAATAGAAATTACTCTAATCCTGTGATACAGTCCCAGTAAAAAACTTAACACGTTATATTTTTGCCTCCTTGTGGACATTTGATGATGTGGGAGAAATAAGAGATGGATTATTAGGTTTTTCTTGTCCATACTGTTCCCCTAGCAGACTCGTTCCAGATCACCTGAAGGTTTATTAAATTAAATACAGAACAAAGAATATCTACTGGAGCTGGGCTCAAGGGGTGTGATAACTTTAACGCTCTCTCATGCTCCTCCTCACATGAATGGAGCATCCAGTGAATAGTCGCAAAAAAGGACCCCCCGGTGAAAGGAAAATCACACCTTGCAAATGCAAACAGGAAACGGCCATCTCAGCGCCTTCCTCATCTCCAGAACACTGTGCCGTTGTCCCCAGCATCATTACAACGCCTTGTAGAATTCAGCAATGCTGCCAGATCTGGCTCAAACAGGAATCCAAATGGCCGTTCTCTTGCTTTCTATGGTCTTCACCTTGCCCGGCGCTGCTGCCGAAGTGCTGTACATGTGAGTAATAAGGGTTAGGCTGGAAAGGCAGGCTACATAGCCTCCCCCGAAGCTTGACCCACGCTATGCCCTTTGAGCGACGCAAACGGCTTATTTCAGGTGCATTTCGAAGTAGCTTATTTTGCCATTTGGCGCAGTCTACACCGCGCCACATTTGGAAATAAGCCGCTGTTCTCAAACGTCCCTTAATCCTCATGGAAAGAGGTTTGGGAAATAAGCCGCTGCTCTGAAACGTCTCTTAATCCTCATGGAAAGGATGGGAGGTCAGAACAGCGCACCCGTTTTTTCGAAAGCTCTTTCGAAAGAATGGGCGCACTGCCAAGACGTGGAATAGCTATTTCGGGTTACCTCAGACACTGAGTTGGTCGGCAGCAAGACAAGTCAGGCAGAGGAGAATAGTGGTCACCTGACCGAGTCATTTTCCCACCTTTAGTCAAACGTGGTGTTGACAGGAGAGGCGATTCACAGCGGAACCCAGCAACCACAACTGTCGGCGCTGGCATGATTGTGGCAGCATTCTCGGTGGAACAAGGCGTGCGCTATGCAGCCTGTGATGGCATGATTGCCAAACCTTCCGTGGCGCAATACGGCCACCGGAGATGGAAACTAACTGAAATATCCATCCAGATGGACTTCAGTGCCGGATGCCTTGTCACGCCCTTGGGTATGCTTAAGTGTGCCTCAGTTTCCCTCTGGGAGCTGGGTTGCTATGCACAGTGTGTGACGGATTAAAAAGCTGATGGTGGGGAATGGGGAAGGGCAGGAGACGTGTCTGTGCCTCCTTTTGCTGGACTGGTAGAAATGGGTCATTAAACAAACAAACCCACCTCAGTTGAGGATGCGGAAAGACAACGGAATCCCCCACGGCATTCGCAGTGACGTACTAGCAAGCAGGAAGGAAGAGATTTGCCCCTCTTCCCCCATGTCTCAGGAAAGACCTGCTGGACCTGCTGGTGCCAGGGGGCTGTGTTAAGAGCTGAGCTTGCAGAGAGCCGCCAGGCACACATCTAAGGACTTCCTGACTCTGTAGGCCAGGTAGTTTAGCTAAGCCATTGTGACCTTGTTTTGAAATGGCTTCCTGGTACCAAATCCCCCCTAGGAACGGCATAGCATTGTCCATGCAGTGCTGGGGAGACTGCCTGGGCACCAGGGGATTCGCTCTCAGCCACTCTGGTCCCCCCTTCTGTCCCCCTTCTGTCAGTCACGGGCCCCATGGCTTCTCTCTCTGGGACTCAGGCCTGTCCAGACTTCCCTTTCTTTCCCGAGAATCAGAGTCCCACAGCCCCACAGCCTCATGGCTGCTAATAAAACCCCCAGGCCTGCTGCTCACGACTCCGGGATCCAGGCCGGTGGGCCGACAGCCCTGCCAGGCCCCCTGGGCATAGTGGGGGGGGGTACCCAGCTCTGTGCTCTGGAGAGGGTCTTGAGGTGAAGGGGCAGGGCTGGGGACCCCATCCAGAGTGCCCCTGCCCCACCTCTCCCCCACAGCCAGTCCTTTGTGCTGCGTGCAGCCCAGAGCATAGCCCCAAACAGGCTTCCTTTCCCGACAGCCCCTGTCTGTTCCCAGCCTGCTGGGGCTGTACACGCCCAGCAGGGCTTCCTCAATCCGCCTTTCCCTCCAGGTGCGGATGACTCTCCTGCTTTGTGTCTTGAGGGGCAGATACCCCCTCCCAGCACCACCACACAGGAGCCCAGCGTGCAGGAGCCCAGGAGCCCAGCGTGAATAGATGAGTGGCAGGGAGAGAGAGAGACACACACACACACAGAGGCAGGCAGGTGCCTGAAAGCTCCATTTGGGAGTCAGGTCGCCCCATGGAACTGTATGGACACCAGTGTGTCTACACTGCAGTTAGAAACCCAAGTCTGGGCTGGGCCAGCTGACTCAGGATCACAGGCCACTGAGATTTAATGAGATTTAATGGCAGTGTCAATGTTTGGATTAAGGTAGCAACTCATGTTCCAGGGCCTTCCCCTCTCACAGGATCCAGGCTCCTGTCCAAGCTTAAATGTCTACACAACATTCATGCAGACAACATTCATGCAGGCTAGGTCCATCAGTGGCTATTTTATTAATGGAGATTGCCTAGCTCCTAGAACTGGAAGGGACCTTGAAAGGCCATCTCCCCTGCCTTCACAGCAGGACCAAGTACCATCCCTGACAAATTTTTGCCCCCAAATGGCCTCTGCAAAGACTGAACTTACAACCCCGGGTTTAGCAGGCCACTGCTCAAACCACTGAGCTATCCCTCCCCCTATTAGTCAGGCTGGAGAGGGATGGTGTCCCTGGCTTCTGTTTGTCTGGGAATGAGTGACAGGGGAGGGATCACGTGAGGATTCCCTGTTCTGTTCACTTCTTCCTGGGCATCTGGCCCTGGCCTCTGTCAGCAGACAGGATACTGGGCTAGATGGACCTTTGGTCTGACCCAGTCTGGCCGCTCTTACATCCTCGTGACAGTGAGACTGAATTCCTCTTGTTGAAACAGGTGTAAGTCTGAGCAAAACTGAGCCTGGTGGCGTTGAAGTATCAGGTACTCCATCTGCAAATACTCTAACACAAAGAAACGGCAGCGTTAACCCACGATGAGCCAGATCCTTCCACCCATGCTTGGGCAGTGCCTTGGGCAGTGAGAAACCCCATTGACTCTTACGGAAGTATTGGGAGCAGGAAGTTCGGCACGGCTCTTTGCGTGGGCACCACCAACCCGCGGTTATTACACGGGAGCAGACAGGTGGAGCAAAGGGAAGAACTGAGCTGCGTTGGCTGAGAATCTCATTCAACAAGCATAGTGGGAAAACCAACCAACCTCTCTCCCCTCCCCGGCAGAGTGGCTCGTGCAAAGTGAAAAACTGTACCAAAGTGTAAAAAGAAATCACATACAGGGACATGCGCCGTGGGCAGGGAGGGAACAGGCAAGTCCCTCAACACAGACATGTCTCTTCACAGCCGAGTCAAACCAGAGGAAACCCCGACGGACTGGATCCAAGGAAAAATGAGACTAGCCAGAGTCCGCGCCAGATTCCAACCTCAGTTATGCCAGTGTAAACCAAGGGCCATGCCAGCCAGGACCCTGGAGGTGCACCAGCATGTCACTGGCATCCTGGAGACCACAGGAAGGATGGTCTTGTGGTTCAGGCACAGGAAGAAGGCGCAGAAGAACTGGTTTCATTTTCTGGCTCTGCCACCGCTTCTCTGAATGACCTGGGGTGAGTCACTTAATCTCACAGGGCGTCAGTTCCCCAACTGTAAATGGGGATAACACTTCTTTTGACTATGAAGGTTTCATAGTCCTGGTGGCAGGGTCTGGCTCGGACCCTCTAGCAAACTTCCAGCTCTTTTCAGTTTCACCCAGGGCTGGCTCCACCCAGGTAATGGTGAGGCTGCTTGTGATCTCCAACCAGAACTGATTAGATGTGATTCCAATGAAGCCGACAGAGCTACTCTTCTTACGCATCAAGGTAACTGAGAGCAAAGTCTGAGCCTCCACTCCTGAATTCCAGTAAACAAGATAGTGTCAAACTCTGAGACTTAACTTCATCATAATGGGGCATCTTGCAAGCTTTTAGTGCTGTTACCCCCACTTTATTGATGGGAAACCGAGGCACGGAGAGACTAAGGAACTTGCCCAAGGCACAAAACAAGCCAGTGACAAAACAGGGAATTGAATGGAGAGGTTCCGAATCCACCCTGACCACTGGACCTTCCTTCCTCTCTGCTGTCTTCCAAAAAGAGGTGCTTTCTTCTGACCACAAATTGTTGGGATTAATGCTGGACGTTGAAGATTCTCCCTCTTCTGTCACCATGGGGATGATGTAACAACGCACTGCATTTTAGTTCTGTGACATCACACGTGGCTGAGCCAATCAGCCTCCGCAAGTTGCAATCCCATTGGCTCAAGAAATGTTGCCCGAAGCTGTGGCCTCTCACTGTGACCGTTGCTAGAGGCTGAAGCTCGACCTACAGCAGTAGCCCAGAGCCAACGGCAAAAGTGTGAAGGCAGCCGGAGCGCCTCAGCTGGTTTTCTTTGCCCTCGACGGCCAGAGGCACGGAAAGCCTGAACCAGCATCTCCTACGGCAGAGCTGCCCTGTGCGATGGTCCTGAGCCATAAGCCGGCAATGCAGCCGGACCCTCAGGCTACATCCAGGAAGAGTAAATGCCTCCTGGTTCCACTGGTCCTGGCGGAGCAGAAGATGGTGATGGAGAGGAAGGTCTGGGGAACGGTCAAGTGGTTCAACGTCAGAAACGGCTACGGTTTCATCACCAGGAGCGACAGCAAGGCAGACATCTTTGTGCATCAGTCGGCCATCGCCAAGAACAACCCCACCAAGTACCACCGCAGCATAGGCGATGGGGAGATGGTGGAGTTTGACGTGGTCCTAGGGGAGAAAGGCCTGGAAGCTGCCAACGTCACCGGTCCTGGGGGCATTCCCGTGCAAGGCAGCGTATATGCTGCCGACCGCCATAAGTGCTCTTGGGGCCCCAGGAGACGCTTGCCTCAAAAGAGTTTGCACACGGGCGAGGGCATGCCAAAGCTCAAGGGATCAGAGAGTGCACCAGAAGACGGGAATCTGCCCGGCAGTGGTCCGTCTTATTCGAGGCACAGATCCTATGGGGATGAGCCGCAGTGTTCCAGCTCTGCTGGGAGAACAGAAGTGGTCTTCGCTGAAGGTCCGGGTGCGCAGGCAGAGCACAGCAAAGCTTTGAAACAGAGCATATTCCAGGATTTCAGGCAGCTTCTGAGCTTGGGGCAGCATCGTATGAAACAGCCGAGAGAGGAGGGAGGGGAAACGTGTAATGGAAGCCCCCGGGCAAAGGAGACCGAAGAGTCAGCGATAAGCCAACGTCGCTACCGTCCTAACTTCAGTTACCTACGCAGACGCCCACAGAACGCTAAAACGCAAGAGGGTAAAGAGACCCAGGAGACCTCTGGACCAACAGCTGAAAACCAAGTGCCTCCTGAGACCAAAAAGATGGGGGGTGTAAATATCAGCATAGGGTTGCTGCCATCCGCCACCGACCTATCTCCACTCAGCCACCAAACAAGGAGTAAGAGAATATGAAACTCCAGAAGGAGAATGAAGGCTTCCACGCTTGCTCCTGTCTGGATAAGTCTGAAACTTACCATCGTGAAGGTTCTATCTTTCTTACCGAAACTTTGTCAGTCTCCTTTCAGGATCCACCATGCTGAAAGATTCGACAAGTTGCTTGCTACTTCTCCAACCAAGCTGAGATTTTTAACAACTGTTCTTTTCAATTTGCAATCATATGAAACACAATACCTGATTCCCCCACCCCTCCGCGCCGCCATGCACCCCATAAACATGCCCCTGAAAGATAGAAAACTGCAAGCATCTCCTAATAAAAGTTTTAAAGACGTTTTAAAAGGGCCAGCGTTTGTGTGGGGTGGGTCACAGCTGTAAAATATTCCTTCCCTTGAGTGGCATTGTCATGAAATATGATTTTTTGTTTGTCCCCATTAACTGGCATGGGGATTTGACTGAATATTAGGGTTCACATCCAAAAGACAACAAAATGCCCTTTCCACTTGGTGCAACAATTTGTGACCTTGTCTCAACTCGAGTTAGTTGCTTGCCAATGGCACTGTTTAAACGGAGCACCTAGACTCTCTACAAATGTTTGTGTCGGGGCACAAACGTTTGTGGTTTATCGGACGTCTCGGCCACAACTTTAGTCTAGACACACTCCTGGGGGGTTCCTCTTTACTCTGCACGCAGGCTGTCCCGCCGGATGCAAGGATTGGGAGCGGATATGTTTAAAAAAGGTCTCTATGTGTACAGTGTCCATATTTTGATCACTTGTTTTATCCCTGTCTCCCTGTGTTTTTGCGGGGCCTGGCCCGCAGTCGGATTCGCACCGACAGATCCCGATGCTCATGCACGTCCCCACTGACGTTAAAGCAGGAGGCCTCCCACCAGCTCGGACACCAGGATCAGAGTATTACAGAGTAAGTTCTTTGGGGCGGGGGCTGTGTCTCCACGTGGACTGTCAGGAGTGAGGCCAAAATTGTCTCTTAAAATGGCAGTGGGGGTGGGAGTTTTAAACGTCAGAATTTCCAGGCTTCTGCGAGCTCTCCCAACTGATTTCCCAGCCAGGCTGTGGCTGTGTTTGCACCTCCCTGATAGCAATCAGTGGAGGCTTTGGACCTGAAGGGTCAGACCAGAGCGATTTGTTATGCTCTAGGGGCTGCCTGGCTGCACACAAACACGGATGGACAAACCCCAACTGAGCACAGAAGCCAGCCCGCTCACCACAAACTGTCCACTGCGGGCTACCACAGGAAGAAACTTGTTTCCACGGGCTCTGCGGGGGAGTAAAGGGGGAAGGCTAGGTTGCCAGGACGCGGCTATTCGAACATGCCTTCCAACGGGAGAACTCATGACCTTAGATCATCTCTTTCTCAGGAGCCAGGGGAGAACGCCAGCAAAGTCCTCAAAGCGAGGTCACGGACGGCGAGGCGGGCAAATGAGTGAGATTCTACTTTTACAAGCAACGTCTGGACGTCTTGCCCTGCTGTTTCACAGCCAGGCCTACGTGCATTCCTCCACTCCGACTTGAGCCGGAGACAGGGCACGTTATTAGCATCTCACGGCAAGGCCTACGGAACCTCGCTGTTTCTCTGCGATCTCCCCTCAAAGCATGGACCAGTCTGCACCGGCCTACCTAACAAACAACCAGGGAAAGATGCACAATTTCAGAAATACCAAACTGGGAGGGGCTGCAAATGTTTTGGGGGATAGGGTGAGAATTCAAAATGATCTGTACAAATTAGCAAAATGGTCTGAGGTAAAGAGGATGAAGTTTAATAAGGACAAATCCAAAGTCCTTATTAAAGTCTGCAGGAAAGAACCTGGAGGTTACAGTAGGTGAGAACCTGGATGTAAGTCAACAGGGTGCCCTTGTAGCCAAGAAGGCTAATGGCGTATTAGGTTGCATTAAGAGGAGCATTGCCAGCAGATCCAGAGATGTGATTATTCCCCTTTATTCGGCTCTGGTGAGGCCACATCTGGAGTATTGTGTCCAGTTCTGGGCCCCCAGCTACAAAAAGAATGTGGACGCATTGGAGAGGGTCCAGCGGAGGACAACAAAAATGATGAGGGGACTGCAGCATATGACCTACGAGGAGAGGCTGAGGGAGTTGGGTCTGTTTAGTCTGCAGAAGTGTAGAGTGAGGGGGTATTTGATAGCAGCCTTCAACTTCCTGAAGGGAGATTCCAAAGAGGATGGAGAGAGGCTGGTCACAGTAGTGACAGATGGCAGAACAAGGAGCAATGGTTTCAAGCTGTGGTGGGAGAGGTCCAGGTTGGATATTAGGAAAAACTATTTCACTAGGAGAGTGGTGAAGCACTGGAATGAGTTCCCTAGGGAAGTAGTGGAGTCTCCATCCCTAGAGATTTTTAAGTCTTGGCTTGACAATGCCCTGGCAGGGTTGATTTAATTGGGATTGGTCCTGCCTTGGGCAGGGGGCTGGACTTGATGACCTTCCTAGGTCTCTTCCAGCTCTATGGTTCTATGATTCTATGATTCTATAAAGTATTTCACTTAGGGAGAAACACAGAATGGGAAGTAACTATCTAGGAAGCGATCTAAGGGTCATAGCGGACGACAAGGTAAATATGGGTCAACAATGTGACACCGTTGCAAAAAAAGCAAACATGGTTCTGGCATGCATTAACAGGAGTGTTGTGAGCAAGACACAAGAAGTCATTCTTCCGCTCTACTCTGTGCGGATTAGGCTCACTTAGGGAGAAACACAGAATGGGAAGTAACTATCTAGGAAGCGATCTAAGGGTCATAGCGGACGACAAGGTAAATATGGGTCAACAATGTGACACCGTTGCAAAAAAAGCAAACATGGTTCTGGCATGCATTAACAGGAGTGTTGTGAGCAAGACACAAGAAGTCATTCTTCCGCTCTACTCTGTGCGGATTAGGCCTCTATTGGAGTACCGTGTCCAGTTCTGGGCACCATATTTCAAGAAAGATGTTGAGACATTGGAGAAGCTCCAGAGAAGAACAACAAAAATGATGAAAGGTCTAGAAAACATGAGCTCTGAAGGAAGACTGAAAGAATTGTGCTTGTTTAGTTTCGAAAAGAGAAAACGGAAAGGGGACATGATAGTGGTTTTCAAGTAGCTAAAAGGGTGTTACAAAGAGGAAGGAGAAAAATTGTTCTCCTTGGCCTCTGATGATAGGACAAGGAGCAATGGGCTTAAACTGCAGCAAGAAAGGCTTAGGTTGGACATCAGGAAAAACTTTCTAATTGTCAGGGTGGTGAAACACTGGAATAAATAATTGGGGAAACTGTCTCGGTAATGGGTGAGAAAGTTCAAAGTCTTGTTAAGTCCTTGTTGGCAAGTGTCGAATTTTAAGAGCAGGTTGGACAGACACCTGTCAGGGATTATCTAGATGGTGCTTGACTCTGCCATGAGGGCAGGGGACTGGACTTGATGACCTCTCGAGGTCCTTTCTAGATCTAGGATTCTATTATTCCATCTAGCATGCATAGCAGTGAGCATCCGAAGCAAACAATGCCAGTGAAATCTGCTGCAAAACTATGACCAGCAACTGTCAATTTTCTTAGTCCACCTTACCCCCTGAAATCGTTCAGCACCCTCTTTGAAAACAGATGAAACTGAATATTATTAACCTTTGAAGAGATGCTACTGGATAATTTGGGCAGCTTGCTAATTGCCAGTTCACTTTGTTGATAATTATGTAACGGGTACGATTTCTAGGAATAAGATTTTATGGATAAGCCCTGTTTGTTTTGGCTCCGTTTCTATGGGGACAAATAGAAGTAGGGCGATTAATTTCCAGTCTGTTGCCATGGATATTAATAATAATGAGGTGATTATTACTGCTCTCTAAATGGGAAAGCCATTCCGAAAGGAAACCGGGAGGGGATTGGACCAGTATCTCAGCTGGCACCAATTAGCATGGCCCTATTGAATTCATCCAGAGGCAATGACTTCAACGGAGCGGTGCAGACTGACGCCAACTGGGAATGTGGCCCAGCCGGCTTCAATACTGCTATCCTGGTTTACACCATCTGCAGATCTGGACCAATGGCTGATTGGCATCCTTAAGGACTGGACCGCTTGGTTTTGATAAAGCGACGCTGCGTAGCACCTCTGATGAAAGGAGGGGTGTCCATGACGCTGTCTGTTGGACCGCTTGGTTTTGATAGAGCGACGCTGCGTGAAAGGAGGGGTGTCCATGACGCTGTCTGTCACAGAGAACATTTGAGAATATGCTGGAAGACGGGAGAAGTTTCTAGAAACCCTGTGCCGTTCCCGGATGGCCCCGCCCCACAGGGCTCTGCCCCATTCCTGGGCAGCCCCCCTTGCAGGGCTCAGCCCCACAGCAGCCAAAGGGCTTCAGCCCAGTGGTGGAGGCCACCCAAGAATGGGGCTGAGCCCCATGGGGGGCATCTGGAAAGGGGGCTGAACCCTGAGGTGGCAAAAGGGCTTGAGCCCTGCCTGAAAATGGGGCTAAGCCCCATGGCAGGGGCAACCCAGGAACAGAGCTTCAGCTCCACCGCAGCCAAAGGGCTTCAGCCCAATAGTGGAGGCCACCCAGGAATGGGGCTGAGCCCCATGGCAGGGGCGACTTGGGAACAGAGCTGCAGTTCCACAGCAACAAAAGGGTTGCAGCCCATGGTGAATGCTGCCTCAGAAAGGGGCTAAGTCCTGTGGTGGGGGCTGCCTGGGAATGGAACTGCAGCCAATGGTGAGAGCACTGGAGAAAGGGGTTTCGACCAGGGTGGGGGAGGACACTGATGGTCGGGCTTTCAGCCCCATTGCTGGACCTGTCCTCCATGAATTCAAACAGGTGTTGAAGAGAAACAGGAGTGAGCCACCCAGGCAAGCAATGAGGCAGAGGGATGCTCAGAAACAAGGACAAGCCGGAGCCAACAGGACTGCAGAGGCAACAGAAACAACGTGGGAGAGGGATGTTCATTGCCTAGTATAGAATCTGAACACAATGCTTGCAGCCGAAGTTGCAACTCCAAACCAGGCCACCCTGAGTGTCCGTCTCC